AGAAGGCTGAGAGGGGATCTAATCAGTGTCTATAAGTACCTCAAGGGAGTCAGTGAGGAGGATGGTGCTGGTATCTTTTCACTAGTGGCCACTGACAGAACTAGAGGAAAAAGCCGGAAACTGAAGTTTCAAAAGTTCTATAGGAACTTAAGGAAAAATTTTGACAGTGAGGGTGACAGAGCCCTGGAACAGGCTGCCCAGAGAGGTTGTGGAGTCTCCTTCTCTGGTGATCTTCAAAACCTGCTTGGATGCAGTCCTGTGCCACATGCTCTAGGTGACCCTGCGTGTGCAGGGGGGTTGGACTAGATGAGCTCTAGAGGTCCCTTCCAACCTTAAGCATTCTATGATTCTGTGACACCTGGTGACAGCAGCTGCATCTACTCCTTGCCCAAAGCAGTGCTATGTTTCTAGAGCACACTTTTGAGCCAGGATGACAGAACTGTAAGGTGATTAAGAAAGGATGTGCAACATGTAGGAACCTACTTAGGTATTGTTTCTTCTCTACATATAATCTTCCTACATATGTTGATAGATTTTTACATTCATTAACTCAGTTTATGCATCCAGACTTGGCAGAGAAGCTGTTTTTGCTGATGGGATCCCATCCAGCACCCAGAGTCTTAGTCTGAAGAACAGATTTGCCATCAGACTTTAATTTGTCCAGAACTAGCATCTGTATCAAGTAGAAGTACATTAGAAGCGTATTTTTTGCTGCATTTTCCGCAGGTAGATAATAACGTCACACTGATATTGCAACCTGAATAAACAAACCTGTGTTCTTGCTGCTTATCTCCTATGCCTGTATCTGCTTTCTCGCCGTGTCTTGGTGCTTAAAGCAGAGGTCATGAATAATATCCTTTCTGGTGAAGTTACTGGACCTTTGCTTTCACTAAGCTCAGGATATCACCCTCCAGTTTATCAGGTACCCATCCAAATATAAAGGTTTTATAACTAAGCAACAAATCTTCGAATCAGCATTGGGTCTAGTGACATAGAGTGTCTGAAGAGGTGCATATATACATATACATGCATGTACAAGTATCATATGGAAATAAAATTTTAGACTCATCAAAGATTTCCCAGAATAAAAAGCTACAGAGTGACTTTTTTTTTTCTCCCAAGATCCAGCAAGTGTGCCAGTCTTCGAAATCCCTTTATATGAAAGGTTGTTAGGGATACTCCGCATTTCCTCAGACAAGGATTCTTACCAGTTATATTGCATATCCATGTTTTAATTTTCTGCTTTTTAATCTGCTTTCTAAATTGTTTTTTTAGATATAATGGAGAGGCCTTCTTTGGAGATCAGCCTGCCCAATACTCCAGAAGAGGGAAAACTCTACGTAGTGGATTCCTTAAATAACCTCAACAAACTAACCGTTTGTCCCGATGACGCCCAGCACGTGCTAGGTAGGTGTGATGAGCAATGCCGAGCGCGGCACACACAGCGGGTCAGGATGGGGAGTTACGAGCGACGCTTGAAAAGGCCGCGCTTGTCATGTGCTGTTGATGGCAGCAGCTCAACAGGCCAACGTATGTCAAGCTCTGCACTGAAAAATGTGAGAAAAGGATGGCAAACAGCATCCTTTACCCACAACAGGCAGAAGCTGCCATAGCTAAATGAGAACAATGGTTTAGCTGCTCCTGTTGACCAAGGGTTTGTGCTCCTTTGGCTAAGGCTTTGCTGCTGAGATGGAGCTTGCCCTTCATTTTGATTTAGATCTGGCAGGTGATTGTTTGCAGCACAGTTCCTCTAGTGCTGCCCAGTATGTGCCTCCTACACGAGTAACACCATGACTCTCCACAAGCACAAAAATTTGAATGTGACAATAGAAATACCAGTGAATTTCTGTTGATTCTTTTCAGACACATCTCCTAAGGACTCAAACCAGTTACCTGAAACGCTCTATGAGACTTGTAAGAATTTTAATTCACAGATTTCTTTGCTTATGGTTAAAAATGGGCTCTCCCAGTTTTGCTGGGTTTATATGATATTTATCTTTGCTTGTGGCAACAAGGATATTTTTAGCTAGTGATAAATTCTGTAAATCCTATTAGTAAAATACATAAAATGAATTTTCATAGCTGGCTTATTCAGCAGTGTATATAAATCCCAGAAAATCAGTGGGATTTGTGGAGTATTTTTCACTTGCTCCATAAATTTAATTCCCATAAATACTAAATGCTGTGGATGATCCAATAATTTATCTGGGTGATGCCCAGTTTGGTTTAGAAATGACATTTTGAGCGTTGCAGTGCACATAGCATGGCTTTTGCTCAGTACAACCCGGCATAAGCAAGCTCACTAACAGTCATGTTAAAAGCTGTTTAAAATGTAAAGGCCTTTGGTTAGTTTGGCTGGAGATATTTCCAGAGACCTCCTACGGCTTCAGTGAATTGCTCAGCTCCCGATCTGCTCATTATTAAAGTCCCATATTATTCCCTCAGCTTTATCGCTAAACATCTGAAAGTCTTCTACCAGATAAAACCAAAGCACAGTCTAGAGAGATATTTTTAATAGATGCATGTGCTACTTTCCCTTTCAAACTGGCAAGAGATCAAAAGCTACAGGTAGTCTGGTTTTGTATGCAATTATAACGTGACTTTAGCTAATGTTATTTCTAGGCTAATATCAAAATGAAATTACCTCCTTGCTTCCCCCTCCTCCAAACAATAAATAAGCCAAAACTTTGGAAATAAAAGTATCTGGAAAATTGGGATTAAAGAACTCTGGCTCAAGTAGGGCCACAAAGATTGAAGTTAAGGGAATTGGAGCATCTCATATATGAGAGGCTGGGAGGGCTGGGACTGTTTAGACTGGAGAAGAGGCAGCTCCAGTGGATCTTGTCAGTATTTATAAAGATCCCATTATAAAATGGAAAGACTAAGTGAGCTGGGAAATGAGGAAAGGCTAAGCAAGCTGGGCCTGTTTAGTCTAGAGAAGAGAAGACTGAGAAGAGATCTGATCAACATGTATAAGTACCTGAGGGGTGAATGTAGGGAGGATGGGGCTAAGCTCTTCTTGGTCGTGGCCAGTGACAGGACAAGGGGTAATGGGTATAAATTAAAACACAGGCAGTTCCACTTCCATCTGAGGAAGAACTTCTTTCATGTGCGGGTGACAGAGCACTCAAACAGGCTGCCCAGAGTGGCTGCTGAGGCTCCTTCTCTGGAGATCTTCAAAAATTGCCTGGATGCCACCCTGTGCCACGTGCTCTAGGTGTCCCTGCGTGAGCAGGGGAGTGGGACTAGATGATCTCTAGAGGTTCCTTCCAACCTCAGCCATTCTGTGATTCTGCAAAAATGGGGGAGGGTAAAGAAGATGGGGGACAGACTCTTCTCAGTGGAGCCCAGTGACAGGACACAAGGCAAAGGGCACAAACAAGAAAACACTTCGTTGTGGAGGTGGCTGAAGATTGGAATAGGTTGCCAAGAGAGTCTCCATTCCTGGGGATGTTCAGTGGGTGACGGGACGTTCTCTTGGTCCCGCTGTTCCAGCTGACCCTGCTTGAGCAGGGGGTTGCACCAGACGCCCTTCACGAGTCCCTGCCAGCCTCAACCACACTGTGGCTCGGTGAAGCAGGAACTTACTTGATATCCAGATGAATCTCAAATGAGTCTGCTTGCTTCACTTTCCACATTATATTTAAGGATCATTGCCACTTTTCATTTGATTGCAACTCTTTTTATGAGAGAATCCACTGACGTTTCCTCTATGTAACACATTCTTAAAAGAGTAATAGGCCAGCACGCCACTCACATTTGAGGGAAGCATGGCTACTGCTTGTTGTTTCCTTTCCCTCACTCTCCATGTGCTTGAAGGACAACCATCTGCTTCATTTTGTGACAAGTCTGAAGGATATGCACTTTGGTTTCTGTTTGAATGAAACACACAGAATCTTTAGAACATTTTCAGAGAAGAAGAATGTACAAAGCATTGAAGATAAAAAAGTCCAAATTTATATTAATCTTAACCAATATTAGGAGCTCTACTGAGGGGCTTCATTTGGAAATTTAGTCATCCCAGGGATATTTCTATCATCAAATAGATAACTAACTTGCCTAAGAGGAAAAGTATGGGATTAATCTGTACCCAGGTTTTCAGTAAGACTTTTTTACTTTCTTCAGTTTATAAAAAGTTGGGTCTCTTCAGGCTTTTAGAAAGCTTTCTGAAGAAAATTTCACTGGACTCAGTGGATTTTAAACAATTGTTCAGCTTCAACGAAGCACTGTATTGTAACAACAACAACTAAATTTTATTGAAATATTCCAACAGCTATAGTTTCTATACTTCCGAAGTCTGGTAATTCCAAGATGAGCTCATGAAGTTGGTTTCTTTCCTTCTCATGCAGTATTGCAGGAAGTGAAGTCTGTTGCCATTAAGATATATATTGAATAATATTTGCTTGGAACCAGAAGCATTTTGTCATTTATTCTAAGCATTCCTAACATTTTTCATCACAAAATGATCTCTCACCTCATAACAGATGAAGAAGATGAGAACACTGGTGGTACTGGAGGATACACGGCATGGAGCAACATAAGAAACCAATGCTTGTTCGTCGTCACCTTGATTCTTACTTTGATTGTCAGTTTGGCACTTGTTTCATTCGTAATATTCTTAATAAGTAAGTAAAACAAAACGTGGTTCTTAAAAATGAAGGGATAAATGAAAGAAGAGAAAGTATCTTTCTACTTTATGTTACTGCTATATTTGAGCAGTCTGAAGCTTTAACTGGTTATTGACACCAGGTCTTGGTTTTGGATATAAAAGCACAGGCCTCTACTCCCTGAGCTAAAAGGTTCAACTTTGTTGTTAAAGCAAAGGCTTTATAAGGTTAAACAGTTATGGAGATAAGGGCATTGTGTATGGCTGCAAAGTAACATTTAATGCTGTCTCTGTGCTCATATCTAATGCAGCTTCCACCTCACATGTTGGAGAAGTTTTGTAGAGATAAAAGAAAAAAATTAAATGGGTAAATAGCAGCCAAAATACACAATGGCACACATTTAGTGGGCAGGGCTCAGGTCTGATATACATTACAGGGAAATTTTTGCGCTCTCAGACACAGAAAAATGTGGTTTCTCTTTAGTGCTGTGCCGGGATTAGCCTAGAACGCATTCCCTCATGACACGACTAATTGTTCTAGACAGGAATGAAAGGCTCCTGCTTTGTCTCAGCTATTCTGAACTCAGCAAGGTTGTTTTTTAAACAAAAATTAGTTTATCTTTCACAGTACTTTATCAGTTGAGGCCAGATTTAAGACAGGAAGATAATCTACACCTAAAAGGCTCACACAACTTGCATTTATTTATGAGGCAGTAAGGAAAAGAACTCAGCAAGGTTAAACTGTGTTTCTGAAAATGCTGACTGAAAATTAAATGTTTCATTTTAAAGATGATTGTATGGTGATGAGACGCTTTGAAAATACACAGGTAAAACTCAGTCTTGGTGTCATTCCACTGAAATTGGAATTAACCCAAGCTAACATTTAAATGGAATATTTAAATGAATATATTTTATTTTATTCACAGAAAGATCTGGCAGTTGCAAACTAAGAACTGTCTGGAAATTGTTTGGAACTAAGAAAAGTTCAAACAAAAGAAACAAAAAACAGATAAGATAACTTGCAATTGGCAAGTAGGATCAAGCCTGTAGATATAATTATTGTTCTGCTTGAGCAGGGCTGGTTGGGTTGGCTTGGCTAACACTGCTAAGATACAGGTGACCTTGGCTTATGGAGCCCTTGCTACCCTTGGGTTTTCTGTGCTAACTTTACTGAACAGAGTATGAAGTGAATTATTTTAAGTGAGAAGTCCATTTTCAAAGAAATGGAATCCATGGAATCCATCCAGATTTCTTCCCCTATACTAGGATCTTCACTGGAGCATAGTAGAGACACTCACTTTCCTTCTCAAGCAAGAAATCCCAACCCCTAACTGAAGCTGTTCACAAGCTCTCAAAGGAGGGAACATCAGGGAAGTGAAGAGCACAAAGAATCTTGAGCTGCAAAACACGAAAAAAAGTGTCTTAGATATGACTTGCAGACGTGCTTGACTGGGAGCTGCTGAAAGTGCAGCTCTGGTACAGGGGGATGAACAACATGACCTCCTAGTGGAAAAAAATCGTGAAGTAACTGTGGAGGGGCTACTGATAGATAGAGGTTAAAGGAGTTTGCTTGTGCTCAGGTTAGTAAAGGCCTGTGTTTTTCAGAACTCAATTTCCAGTAGTGTTTATCTCAGATTATGTTTGCAATTCACAGGCATAGACTCATTTTGTATCGGCACTATAAGACTTAAGCTTTTGTCAGCTTTAAACCCACAATTAAACTTTGTAAACTTAAGAAGGCCAGAATAATATTGACTCCAAATGAGTATATGTGAGTGATGCTATTTTACTGGTGCTCCAGAGGAAACTGGCTCTTAATGCTATATCTGCAAGAATTCTCTGTTAATCTACATGTTTTAGGAAATCAAGGGATAAGGCAGTAGTCTTAGGTCTTGGTGAATGTTTTAACAATTGCACTTTAGATGCAATTGTTTAGATGCATACAGACACATGCTGTTTAGAAAAGCATCTTGGAGTTCCCACATAACCTATTTTCCAGTGGATGCTGGAATGAATATGTTCATGAATATTGCAGAAACTGTCTGAGCTAGTGTATTTGACTGTATTACTCTGCACCACACTGAATAAAGACAAAATAAGCAGGTAAGATATCAGGTGAGCAGTAGTACCAGATGCGCAGCTTCTTATCATCAGGTTCTGCAGCTGTACAGGGATGTAAGAGAGGAGAGTGTTGCTTTTGACCTGAATGTTACCAATTTAATGTGGTCTCTTTCACTTTTCAAGTTCAAACTAGGAACAAGATGGACCAACTATCAAGCAGACTAATATCTGAAAGGAAAAGCATTGAAGAGCTTAAGAAAATGAATGATATGATATTAAAGCATCTAAATCAATCGGGAATTAAGGAAAAGGAGAGAGACATCTTCCCACTAAATCCCGACCTTCATGAATTCTTATTCACACAAGCTGAGCTGAAAATCCCTGGAGAATAGATCTTCTTTGGAATGAAATTCATTGTCACTGGATTCATGCATTCAGATATTTTCACACGTGACGCAGAGGTTACTTCAACATTCTGATGTGGTCACAGGAACACCAAAAAAAGACATTTAAATAAAAAAAAAAAGAAAATCCATAGATGAGGTGTTTTATGTAAACACAGATTTTCAAAAGTATGAAAAGATTTACAATGAGCAGTGGAGAAAAATGAAAGGTAGGAGAATTCCAGATTCCCTGTGCATCATAAATTGTTATGGATTTAATGTTACTTTAAATGTAAGTGAATGATCACATAAAATAGTGATTTTCGTTCAAATGATTCCAGCAAGGATCTTTTTCTCTCAAGCCTAATTGTAATCCTAGCTCTAAAAGTTTTATTCAGCACATGCTGGATGCAAGGCAACAAGTATGGCCCAAATGAGAAAGTCCTCAGAGAAACTATCTCTCTGCAGCATTCACATTTTGCTGGGGACCTCTTTCCTTTTCCTGCTGTGACCCAGATGATGAACTCCTTGGAGAAGCTATCTCTGTATGGCATATTTCTTCTGCTGGAGGGCTCTCTCCAAACTTACAGCTATTGTGCCTGTAGGTTTTCTCTTTTCCTCAACCCTAACCCTAATTCTAACCCTAAATATTTTATTTCGCACGCTAAGGGTGCAAGATCACAACTGTGGCCCAGATGAGAAACTCCTCTCAGAAGCTACCTCTGGGCAGCATTTTCCTCCTGCTGGGGGCCACTCTGAAATCCTACAGCTATTGCACCTGTAGGTTTTCTCTTTCTCTCTGCTCTGTCCCTAACTCTAAAGATATACTTGGCACAAGCTGGGTGCAGGACCCCAAGCGTGGGCCAGATGACAGACTCCTCAGGGAAACTGTCTCTGGGCAGCCTAAGCCTTCCTCTGGGGGCCTCTTTCCAAAAGCATAACAACAACACCTCTAGGCTTTCTCTTTCTCCTAATTCTAATCCTAACCACAAACCCTACATCTTTTATGTGGCACACTGAGAGTGCAAGACCCCAACTGTGGCCCAGATGAGAAACTTGTCAGAGAAGCTATCTTTGGGCAGTGTTTTCCTTCCACGGGGGGCCCCTCTCCACCTGTATCGCTATTGGGCCTCTTGGCTTTCTCTTTCTCTCAAACTTAACCCCAGCCCTAACCCTAAAAGATTGACTCGGCACAAGCTGGGCACAGGAACCCGTGTGACCCAGATGAGAAACTTCCCAACCCTAAAAGAGTTACTTGGCATATGCCGGGTGCAGGACCCCAGCTGTGGCCCAGACAAGAAACTCCTGAGAGAAACTATCTCTGGGAAACATCTTCCTTTCATTAGGAACCCTGCAACCCTACAGCTATTTTACCTCTAGGCTTTCTCTCAACCCTAATCCTAACCCTAAAAGATTTGCTTGGCCACAAGCCAGTTCTGCAGTGGCGCTTACTAGTTTGCCTTACTGTGTAGTCTAAACATACTGACTTACAATTTAAGGAAAAATGAACTTAATTAAAAACAAGCCTGTAAAGACAAACATGTCATATTCAGCCCAAACTAATGTTAATGGAATGTTGGTGTCATATTGTTCCTAGATGGGAAATGGTTTGGGGGACTCGGACGGCTTATACCCATCTCACAAGAGCAATACATGCTGTAGTCAGTATTTATGCGGAATTTTTGGGGAGAGGCCAAGTGTTTTTATAAAGTGATGTGGAATCACATGTTCTTGTGCTCTACCCAACATCTACTGTTGGCCACAATTGGAAACAGGATACAGGCCAGACAGAAGCCTGGTCCAAGCCTTCAAGTCCTTAAGATGGTGCAATGATTCAGAGGATGAAAGCAAGACTTGATGCTTTTTTCCTCTGACTTTATTCAGTTGTGGAGATTGACATCCAAAAATGGAATCACAAAAGGTACTCCTTGGTAGAATTGTCATTTTAGTCTTTGGATCGTTCTGTTAATATGCACATGAAGAAGTCACGACAGTTTCCAATAAAGAAATTGGCCACAGAATCACAGAATGGTTGAGGTTGGAAGGGACCTCTGGAGATCATCTAGTCCAACCCCCCAGCTCAAGCAGGGACATCTAGAGCATGTGGCACAGGGTGGCGTCCAAGTGAGTTTTGAAGATCTCCAGAGAAGGAGACTCCACAACATCTCCGGCAGCCTGTTCCAGGGCTCTGTCACCCTCGCATGAAAGATGTTCTTCCTTACATGAAGATGGAACTTCCTGTGTTTTAATTTATACCTGTTACCTCTTGTCCTGTCACTGGCTACCACCGAGAAGTTTAGCCTCATCTTCTTTACATTCTCCCCTCGGGTATTTGTACATATTGAAAAGATCCCCTTTCAAATTTCTCTTCTCCGGGCTAAACAGGCCCAGCTCATTTAGCATCTATCTTAGAGATAGATGTTCCAGTCTTTTAATCATCTTCGTGGTCCTACACTGGACCCTCTCTAGAAGCTCCACGTCCCTCTGGTACTGAGGAGCCCAGAACTGCACCCAATAATCCAGATGCGGCCTCACCAGAGCTGAGGAGAGGGGCAGAATTCCCTCCCTCGACCTGCTGGCAACGCTCCTCCTGATGCAGGCCAGGATCTCACTGGCCTTCTTGGCCACAAAGGCACATTGCTGACTCATGGTTAACTTGCTGTCAACCAGGACTTCCAAATCCCTCTCTGCGGAGCTGCTTTCCAGCAAGTCAACCCCTAATCTGTACTGGTGCCTGGGGTTGTTCCTTCCCAGGTGCAGGACCCTGCACTTGTCCTTGTTGAACCTCAAGAGGTTCCTCTCTGCCCAGCTCTCCACCCTGTCTAGGTCCCTCTGAATGGCAGTACAGCCCTCGAGAGCATCGGCCACTCCACCCAGTTTGGTATTGTCCACAAACTTGCTCCGGGTGCATCTTTATAACCCACCTGGACGTGACCACGTGCCACGTGCTCTAAGTGTCCATGCTGGAGCAGGGGGGTTGGACTAGGTCCCTTCCAACTTCAACCATTCTGTGATTCTGTGTGATTCTGTGATTCACATCATCTTATTTTAGTATCTCGAGCCCTAGTTTTTCTTTCTTGTTATATTCCAATCACATCATTCATATGAAAAGTGTAAGGTTGATTTTAATTTTGATTACTTTTGCTGTTAATTCCCAGCTTGAGTCATAATTAGTTCCTCTGGGCATCACAAGCAGTCGTTACAAAGGTGACTTTAATATTGCTAACAGAGAGTGATGCAAGTAAGTGTAGAACGAGCTGTAAGGAAACAAACCCTAAAAGCTCCAAATGAATGAATGTCTTTTGGTAAATGCTGCTAGTGGTAGAGGATGAAAGAAAAACTAATCCAAGACTGTAAACATGACACTCGCAGAGTTGTTTCTCTCTTTTTCCCTGCTCTGTCAGCTGTTTTTTAATGACAGTATTAAGTTCTCCTCTCTCCCACTCATCTTGTAGCTACTGTAACTGCTTCCAAGCTCCTGTCTCACACTGACACACATCCAAACTTGTTAGCCAGGGAAAAACAATTCTAGTATTTTGCATTCATTGCATATCAAGTGTGGATTTGTCACATCCTGCATTGCAACTGCAGCTATCAGAGCTGTCTGAGGCTCACAAGAAACTGACACCAATGTCTACAGATTTTTTTGGCAGGAGATGATAGTGTAAATGAAATCTGTGCTACAGCAGCTGTCCCCAAAGAAATGAAAGCGTCCACATCTCTCTGATCTTGCTTTCAATTACTCTTAATCTAGTAATTCAATCAATGTTCACAATAAATCTCCTTTTTGTATATCTGTATCTTGCCAAGTGTTGCTTTTTTTTTTTTGCTTTTTATTTTTTTCCCATCCAGGGTTTGATCCTGTGAAGTGCTGCACACTTTCAGCTTAACAATGTACAAGTGCTCAGGATCACACAGAACTGAGTCCCCAAACAACCTTTTCATATTTAAGTGCTTCTTTACTTGGTAGTGATCAAGATCAGTGATCAAAGAAGGCCAGAGGTCTGAGTAACTCCTTAAGCCCATCCTGTATCCACTGCTAGATACAATGGGGTGGTGCTGCATACAGCTGCTTATGACTTCTCAGCTCAAGTTACCAATATCCACTTACAGCAGGGAGAGTATCCACATGGTGTCAAAGGAAGGGTTGCAATGGCTGCCTCAACAGGACAGAGCCATAGACCACTCCACCAACATTTTCCGGAGTACTGCCTATAAACAGAAGCAAGCACTGGCTCCTTCCGGGACACATATCTGTCAAATCTGGTGACAGTAACCCAAAACAAACCTGAGTCTTACTATTTTCTACAAACTTGACACTTCAGTGAACTTCAGCTCACTCCAGAGTTACAGCATCCTGGTTCTGAATAAACGACCAAGTGACTAGTAAACCCTGAGCTCTAACAGCATGTGACATTACCAATACCTCACACATCTCACAATCTACCTCCTCTAAACATGACATTTGTCTCCATGCTTGTATGACTGCATGTCTCCAGGAGTCTTTGAAACATCCAGTAGTGTGACAAAGTGCTATCCGGGCAGGAAGGAGATCTGACAGTAACAGGTAGCCTCATCTAACAGTGGACACAACCACTCTCCTCGGTAGTACAGCATCTCTCTGGGTGTGCTCTCATTTGCAGGGTTTGAGAGGGATCTCTGCAAAGTCATCGGCTTTTCAATCACTGAAAATCTGAGTCCACTGCACACAGAAATAACACACAAAGGGTTCAGACAAGATTTAGCAATATGCCACTGACACCTTCCTCTCTTTCTTAGCAGCTACAAATTATTGGAATCACAGAATGGTTAAGGTTGGAAGGGGTCTCTAGAGATCATCTAATCCAACCCCCTTGCTCCAGCAGGGACACCTAGAGCATGTGACACAGGGTGGTGTCCAGGCGGGTTTGGAAGATCTCCAGAGGAGACTCCACAACCTCTCTGGGCAGCCTGTTCCAGGGCTCTGTCACCCTCACGGGAAAGTTCTTCCTCACAGGGAGATGGAACTG